GCTCACCAGTACGCCCTGCTGTCCCCCGTTCCTGGACACACAGAAGACTACTCGGTGTGGGTGAAAAAGCACTTCTGCAGGGTGGAGGCGGGGAGACGCTGGTTCTGTTTGTGAGAGCAGCAGGGCCTGTTCTGGGCAAAGGGAGGCGGCTACCTCTCTTGAGGAGCTGGACACTGGTGATGTCGAGTCCTATGCAGGTGAGGGTGTGCGAGTGAGCGTGTGCACCTGGCCACAGAGGCACAGGGCTGAAAGACCCAGTCGAGGGGACGAGCCAGGATACATGATGGGGGAAAGGCCCCTGGGGTAGTCAGTGCAGAAGGAATAAGGACTGGACTAGGCTTGGACGCCAGAGGAGGCCAGAGTAGATCTCAGACTGGGGCAGTGGGCTGGGAGCCGTTTCTGCTATAGCCCCGCTGCAACAGGGCTTCCCAGCCCCCCATCCCCCACACCCGGGGGCCGAGCCCCCCCAAGGGCAGGGCTGGACAGCTCCCCTTCCATACAGGACAAGTCTGTGCAATCCCGTCCCCAGTCCCCAGATACTGAGTTTCCAGCTTTAGCACCACACGGGCCAGCGTCTGAGGCAGGGGTCCAGGGTGTCTGGGCTTCAGACTGGTTTCTGGTCACCCACATGGGATCACTGTTTTGTTCCATTTGAGTCTCAGCCAAATGAGGGCCTAGAAGTCTCTCTGAATGCCCCGGGGTGCAGAGATACGGGGGTGGGTAGTCTGGTAGCCAGACCTTGCTGGTCCATCCTCCATCTTCCTCCCCAGCCCTGGGTCCCCGCTCTTGCCTGTCCTGGGTCCACCCCTGCTTCCTGCAGGTCACTTGGGCCCTGGGCTCCTCCTGCAGATGGAAACTTTGGCCATTCCAGGATCTCGACTCCTCTTCTTTAGGGTCATCCCAACTTTCCATCTGCAAGCCCACAGAACCTGTGTGTGCCAAATGCCTTTGGAAACTTGGGGGACCCAAACCTAGGCCCCTCGCATGGCCAACCAGCCAGTCGGACCCTGGTTCTGTGGGCATTTGGGACAGATGTGGCTCTCTGTACGATACAGGTAATGAAAAGAAGGATCCGCTGCTACACACAACAGGAATGAAAGTCGCAGACGCAAGGCTGAGCAGAGAAGCCCGGCAGTACGCAGGGCAGCGGCTAAGGCGCCATCCGGGGGCCTGTGTTGAGGCTTAGTGGGTTAAGCTGCCGCTCGCAAGGCCTGCATGCCTTCTCAAGTGCCTGCCTCGAGTCCTGGCCACTCCATTTCTGATCCGGCTTCCTGTGGACATGCCTGAGGAGGCAGCAGAAGATGGCCCAAGTGCTTGGGCCCCCGTCACCATGGAGAAGACCCACACGGAGCTCCTGTTTCCTCACTTCCGCCTGCTGTTGTGGCCACTTGGGAAATGACCCAGCGGCTCAGAGAACTCTGCCCTACCCCACCCCCACCTTTGTAACTCAATAAGTAAATAAATACTTAAAAAAAAAAAAAAAAGACATCACTAGGACTCCCCTCCCTGGCTCACTCAGCACAACCAGCTGCCATTGGATGCTGGACCACGGGGCTACCCAATCCTGTAACCTCAAATCTAAAGAATGTAGGGGCGGCATTTCATATGGCCGCCGGTTCTAGTCCTGGCTGCTCCACTTCCCATCTAGCTCTCTGCTATGGCCTGGGAAAGCAGTGGAAGATGGCCCAAGTCCTTGGGACCCTGTACCCGTGTGGGAGACCCAGAAGAAGCTCCTGACTCCTGGCTTCGGACCAGTCCAGCTCTGGCCATTGCGGCCCTCTGGGGAGTGAATCAGCGGATGGAAGACTCTCTCTCTACCTCTGCCTCTGCCTCTACCTTTCAAATAAATAAATATTTTAAAAAATAGATCATTTGGGTGTCCACATTCCGTTTTATTTTTAAGATCTACTTATTTATTTGAAAGGCAGAGTTTCAGAGAGGCAGAGGCAGAGGCAGAGGCAGAGGCAGAGAGAGAGAGAGAGAGAGAGGTCTTGCATCTACTGGTTTACTCCTTAGATGGCCACAATGGCCAGAATTGCGCTGAACCAACCAGGAGCCAGGAGCTTCTTCCAGGGCTCCAATGTGGGTGCAGGAGCCCAAGGACTTGGAGCATCTTTTAACGCTTTCTCAGGCCATGGCAGAGAGCTGGATCAGAAGTGGAGCAGCCAGGACTCTAACCGCTGCCCATATGGGATGCCAGCACTGCAAGCAGCAGCTTTACCGGCTATACCACAGCGCCGGCCCCAACTTCCTATTTTGCAGTCCCTGGTTTGAGGCTGCAATTCTGATCCAGCTTCCTGCTGATGCAAACCTTGTGAGACAGCAGTGATGGTTCAAGCAGCTGAGCCCCTGCCATTCATCGGGGGACCCACAATGAGTATAAGCTGCTGGTTGCAGTCTGGCCCAGCCCTGGCTATTCCAAGTATATGGGGGAGTGAACCAGCTGATGGGAGAGTTCTCTCTCTCTCTCTCTCCCTGCCTTTCGAGTCAATAAAATAAATAAAATTTTAAAAAGACCAGCATCAAAGAGTTGGTACTGCACACCTGCGTTACATGAAGTTCACCTACAGGCCGAGACAGTCTGTAACGATGCGAGTGAGACCGCGGTCACCCCTGATGGGGAGGCTCCACAGGGAGAGGAATTCTGGGGGAAGGAATTATTCTACGGGCTACATTCTATCATTACCCATATCCTGTTACTCTGCCTCGGGTCAGGGTGCTGGTCACAAGAATGTGTGCCTGTGTAAAATCGACTGGGCTGTACCCTGAGGGCACCTTACTATTCGGCTATAAATACCTCAACCAAGACAAAACAAGCAGGGAGCCAGCACTTTGGCACAGCAGGTTAAACCTCCTCCTGTAATGCAGCAGCCTACATCGAATCCTAGCTGCTCCATTTCCGACCCAGGCAGCGGAAGATGGCCCAAGTGCCTGCTTCAGCCTGGCCCAGTCCCAGGCATGGCAGGTATTTGGGGACTGAACCATTGGATGGGAGATTTCTGTTTCTCCCTCTCTGCCTCTCAAATCAATGAATAAAAACATTTCTCAAAAGGGACAATTGCAGGGGCCGGTCCTGTGGCATAGCACGTGAAAGTCGCCACCTGCATTGCCAGCATCCCATACGGGCACCAGTTCAAGTCCCAGCTGCTCCGTTTTTTTTTTCCTTAAGATTTATTTATTTATTTGAAAGTCAGAGTTACACAGAGAGAGGAGAGACAGAGAGAGGAGAGACAGAGGAGAGGCAGAGAGAGGAGAGGCAGAGAGAGAGAGAGTCTTCCATCCACTGGTTCACTCAACAGACGGCCACAACGGCCAGAGCTGGGCCGATCCGAAGCCAGAAGCCAGGAGCTTTCTCCAGGTCTCCCAAAAGGGTGCAGGGGCCCAAGGACTTGGGCCACCTTCCACTGCTTTCCCAGGCCACAGCAGAGAGCTGGATTGGAAGAGGAGCAGCCGGGACTAGAACCAGCGCCCATATGGGATGCCGGCGCTTCAGGCCAGGGCGTTAACCCACTGTGCCACAGCACCGGCCCCTGCTCCACTTATGATTCAGCTCCCTGCTAGCAGTCTGGGAAAGCAGTGAAAAATGTCCCAAGTGTTTGGGCCCCTGAACATGAGTGGGAGACCGGGAAGAAGCTCCTGTTTTTGTTTTGTCTTGTTTTGTTTTTTTGAGAGGCAGAGTGGACAGTGAGAGAGAGAGACAGAGAGAAAGGTCTTCCTTTGCCGTTGGTTCACCCTCCAATGGCCGCTGCGGCCGGCGCACCGCACTGATCCGATGGCAGGAGCCAGGTGCTTTTCCTGGTCTCCCATGGGGTGCAGGGCCCAAGCACTTGGGCCATCCTCCACTGCCTTCCCGGGCCACAGCAGAGAGCTGGTCTGGAAGAGGGGCAACCAGGACAGAATCCGGTGCCCCGACCGGGACTAGAACTCGGGGTGCCAGCGCTGCAGGCGGAGGATTAGCCTATTGAGCCGTGGCACCTGCCAAAGCTCCTGGTTTTCAACCAGCCCAGCCCTGGCTGTTTCAGCCATTTGGGGTGTGAACCAGTGGATCGAAGACCTCTGTCTCTGTCTCACCTTGTCTCTCTGTGTAACTCTTTCAAATAAATAAAATTAAAATCTGGGCTGGTGCTGTGGTGCAGTGGGTTAACGCCCAAGCCTGCAGCACCAGCATCCCAGATGGGTGCTGGTTTGAGTCCCCGCTGCTCCACTTCTGATCCAGCTCCCTGCAAATGAGCCTGGGAAAGCAGTGGAGGATGGCCTGAATGCTTGGGTCTCTGCATCCATGTGGGAGACCTGGAAGAGGCTCTTGGCTTCTGGCTTTGGACTGGCCTAGCCCCAGTTATTGCAGCCATCTGGGGAGTGAATCAGTGGATGGAAGACCTCTCTCTCTCTGCCTCTACCTCTCTTTGTAACTCTACCTTTCAAATAAATAAAATAAATCTTTAAAAACATTAAAATCTGGGGCTTGCGCTGTGGCATAGTGGGTAAAGCCGCCACCTGCAGTGCTGGCATCCCCATATTGCCGCTGGTTAGAGTCGCAGCTGCTCCACTTCCCATCCAGCTCTCTGCTATGGCCTGGGAAAGCAGTGGAAGATGGCCCAGGTTCTTGGGCCCCTGCACCTGCATGGGAGACCCGGAAGAAGCTCCTGGCTCCTGACTTCAGATTGGCACAGCTCCAGCCGTTGCAGCCAGCTGGGGAGTGAACCAGCAGATGGAAGACCTTTCTGTCTCTCTCTCTCTCTGCCTCTCCTTCTCTCTCTGTGTTACTCTTTCAAATAAATACAATAAATCTCTTTAAAAAATCAAAATAAGAAAAAACAATTGCCATAAAACAGGGGAACAAAAGTTACAGAATCAGGTACAGCACCTTAACACTTGAGCGTCATACTTGGGATATAGCCGTCTCCAGAAATTTCCTGAGCGCCAGCAGGTGGGAGCGGAGGTCCCGCCCCTCAGGCCCCGCCCCCAGCCCCGCCCCCAGCCCCGCCCCCCATGCGCCTCACCTTCCGGCTGAACTCCTGGGCCTTGCGCCTGCGCTCTCGGTGCACAGCGTCGGGGCGCTTACGGCCCACCAAGCGCAGCAGCTCGCGGCCGAGCGCGAGGCCCCGGCCGGGGCGTGGGGCCCGCAGGCCGGGACCGCCGTCGTCGAAGCCCGGGAGCACGCCCAGGCTGGGCGGCACGCGCGGGCAGCGCCGCGCCAGGCGCACGAGGCGCTCGCGGCTCAGGCCGCCCACGGCAAGGCCCTCGAGCTCCAGGATCTGGTCTCCGGGCCGCAGGCCCCCGGCGTGCGCGCTGCTGCCCTCGGCCACCTCCAGGACGAAGCAGGGGCCGCAGCCGCCAAGCCGGAAGCCGAAGTCCTCGGGCCAGCCCAGGTTGGTGGTCGGCATGGCGGCGGCGTGGCTGGAGGGGGCGAGAGAGCACAGGCCTAGGACACGTGCCAGCCCGGGGTCTCGTCTCCTCTCTGCCTCCTCCTCCTGACCAGCTCTCTGCCTCAGTTCCCCTCCATCCGGCTTCACATTCCCCACTTCCGGTCTTCTTCCGGGGTCAGCCGGAAGTGTGGCTGAGAAGATGGCGCCCAGGAGGGAGAGGTGTGGACAGGGAGGTCAGAAAGGAAGTGGAGGCGACAGCTGGGGTTCTGGGCGGCTGTCGGGCCCCCACGGGGACAGCGTGATGAGGGCAGAGGTCTGTAGGAAGAGGGAGGGGCTGGGGACGGGGAGAGCTGGGCCTGCTGCCTCAGTGACCCCGGGGAGGCCGAAGGCGGATGTGGGGAGGGGGGCTCTGACGTCATCCACTTATGTCTCCACAACGTTGTCGTTAACTCCGGGCTTTGTAACTTATTAAATATCGTCTTAATGTTGGTTTTTGGATGTGAAAGACAAATGCCCCGTCTTTAAAGTCTTAATTGGAGGGGTAGGCTTTGGCCCAAGGCCTGAGACCCACTTGGGGTGCCTGCATCCTATATCAGGTGCCTGGCTCTGCTTCCCTGCCCCCGCCCCGGGGGGTTCTAAAGGTGCTGGCTCAAGTAATTGGGCGGGTCCCACCCGCGCGGGAGACCGAGATTGAGTTCCCAGCTCCTGGCTTGTCTGGCCTAGTCCTGACTGTTGTGGGCATTTGGGGAGTGACCTAGGGGATGAAAGGTTGTTCTCTCTCTCTTTGCCCCTCTGCCTTTCAGATAAATAACAAATAATCATTTAAAAAAAAAAAAAAACTCTTCTTTCTAGGTCCAGGGCACACGCTTGGCACAGCAGTTAAAACATCATCTGGGAGGCCGGCGCCGCGGCTCACTAGGCTAATCCTCCGCCTAGCAGCGCCGGCTCACCGGGTTCTAGTCCCGGTCGGGGTGCCGGATTCTGTCCTGGTTGCCCCTCTTCCAGGCCAGCTCTCTGCTGTGGCCCGGGAGTGCAGTGGAGGATGGCCCAAGTGCTTGGGCCCTGCACCCCATGGGAGACCTGGATAAGTACCTGGCTCCTGGCTCCTGCCATCGGATCAGCGCGGTGCGCCGGCCGCAGCACGCCAGCCGCGGCAGCCATTGGAGGGTGAACCAATGGCAAAGGAAGACCTTTCTCTCTGTCTCTCTCTCACTGTCCACTCTGCCTGTCAAAAAAAAATAAAATCATCTGGGACAGCTGCATCCCATATCCTAGTATCTCTGCAAGTTCTGGCTCCCTGCTAATGTGCACGCTGGGAGGCCACCCCCAGGGGAGACCTAGATGGAGTTCCCAGTTCCTGGCTTCAGCCTGGCTCAGCCCCCCGCCCCCCGCCCCCCACTGTCGTGGGCATTTGGGGAGTGAACCAGCAAAACGGAACTCTTGGAGACAGAGTTGTGGCTTCCACATAAGGATTTAGTTAGAGTTCCTTGGTATCGTAGCCGATGAAGCCACACCTTTTCCCAGAGGGATGACCTCACTGTGCGACTTCCATAGGGCACTGTGGCTTCCGTGGTCTTCCCTTACCTTACTGTTCCTTCCACCTAATCGCAAGCTTCCAGTAGCCCAGAATGTTGGAGCAGGAAGCAGTCCCAGAAGCCATTTGTACCCACCGGGGGAGGTAGAAGGATTTTATAAACCTCCCCCAGACCCAAGCAGTGAGGTGTCTCTGCCTTGAGATGGGAAGGTCCTAACCCCAGGACGCCCAGCTGGTGAGTGGCAGAGCCAGCCCTCCCTCCCACCCAGGGCTCACTCCTCTGCCTCCCACCCATCTGAGGCAGAGCCCAGGGACCCCTGTCCAGAGGGTTCCTGCCCGTCCTGTCCTCACAGGCCTCTTCCCACTTGGCTGAGGAGACAAGACAGGGTCACCGCTAGGCCGACCCTCCCTGTCTCCCATGCCCCCCATGCCCTGGGCTTCAGGGGGACAGACAGGTGGTTATGCGCTGGCCCTGATAGCAGGAGTGGGCCTTGACCAGGCCTGTCCAACCGCTGCATCCCAGCCTGAGTCTCCTAAAGGGCGCTTGAGTGTTTCAGATGTGACATGGTGGCCTCGGGGGGGGGGGGGTCTTTCTCTGGGCTCGCTGGCTATCTGGGACGTTGCAGGTTGGGTGCTGTCCGCAGCCACCCTGCCAGCCGTTCCGAGCTTTGGTGTCTGTGGCACCAAGCGCCGGCATCCAGCTGTGCCTCATGCTCACCCAACTTGGACTTGATGGCAGGACTTCCCAGGGATGTGGACTCTTGGCCTCCTTTCTTTGGAGGTGTAGAGTGGGTTTCTCACTGGCAACTGATAAGATCCAGAGTACTAGAAACTTCTAAGCAGAGAGCACGTGCCGGGTCTGTCTTAGTGGTGCGGTGAGCTCTTTTGGGTTGTAAGACAATGGCTGCTCTGGGGCTCTGGGTCCTGGCACTGGGATAGGCTCAGGGAGCGGAGATGGACTCTTTTCAGAAGAGGCCAGCTGTGAGGGCAAGCGATCGAGGTGTCCAGGGGACACAAGCACAGCTTGGGGAGGCAAGGATAGACCGTTCTGGAAAACCTCAGCTAGGCCAGCCCTTGTGTGGGTTTGTTTCGAGCAGGGATTCATTACAGGAGTGGTGGGCCTCTGATGTTGGCGGGGGGGGGGGGTGCGTGTATTCTGGTTGGAGGGTCTGAGGGCTTGCTGACCCTGGCCTGGAGGGTCCCGGCTGCCCCTCAGCTCCCTGTGAAAATTTGGAGACCCGCCCCCAGGAGCCATCCTGCCCACAGCTCCCTCTCCCAGGAACCGGCGTGGGCCACACACTTCTTGGGACTGGGGAGTTGGGGGCGGGGGGAAAGGCCCAGAGTTCTGACAGCGCGATGGACTGGGAGGGAGTGTCCCCAAGTGACATTGGGAGAGGCCGTGCCAGCAGAGGGCACGTGTGAGACTGCCTCCCCAAGGCTGGCAGGATCAGTCCCACGCCCACCCCGGGGCCCCTGTCCTCATCTGCCAGGCTGTGGTGCTGGCACGGGGCACGGACACTCAGGGGCATGTCCCGGGTCACCTGATGGCCAAGCACAGGGCTCCTGTGTGGGTGAGGGCACCGCCACATCATTTGGGGACCTGAAGTTGCTTCCTCTACTGCGAGAGAAGCAGTTTCTCTGTAACCAGAGAGGGACTGTCTGGAAAGCTCTCCCTCCACGGCCACCCCTGTGCCGGGTGACAAGCCACCTCTACACCCAACCTGGGAAGTCCACAGGGCCACAGAGGCTGCCAGTCCCCCGACCTCCCACTGCCCAGAGCTTCTGAACCACGTCAAGCCCTCCAGGGTGTCCTCTCCACACCCACCCAGAGCCCCCAGGCTGGGCTGTTGTCTCTTCCCTCCCCTCCTGGGAATGCTGGAACCCAGGCTCCTGATTGGGCTATCTCGGTACCACGCGGCATCTCGGTTCCTGCCCACCTCCCCCATCCCAGGCAGGGGCTGCACCGCTCCCCAGCTTTGCTCACCTGCCTTGTTTGCCTGCACCGGCCACGGCTACGGCGGACACAGCCTGCGTTCTCACGGAATACCCACTCACACTCCGCGGTTGCCGCCCGGCCCTTGGCTGCTCAGGGCCTTGGCATCGGTTACGGATGCGCCCAAGGGGACAGCTGGAGTTTCTAAGGCAAAGTGATCCTCTGAGTAACCTGAGAAGGCCCCAGTTACCGCGTAGACCAGCAGGATGGCTGGACAGCTTGGCCAGGACCCAGGGCGGCCACCCCTGTTGCATGGTCCTGGGGGATGAGCAGGTGGAGGCTTGCAGGGGTTTGGCCTGAGGCTGGGTCCACCCAGGGGGGTCACAGGGCTTGGCAGGCAGGTGCAGGGGGTTCAGCTGAGTTGTTTGGGGTATGACTGTCACTCGGTTCAGTGGCACCGGTGATGGCAGAGGGGACTGGTGAGAGCCACTAGGATGCAGGAGCTAGTCCTCATCCGAGAATAGCACAGTGGGAGCCCCACGGGCTGGCTTCATTGGCAGGAGAAGGGAGAATCCCCCCAAAAAACAGTTGGAATGGGTGGAAGGTGCTGACCTAAGCCATTTCAGAAATGAACGGAAGCTGGGAAGTCAAGGTGGAAGGAAGTGCAGCCGGCACTGCTGTCTCATCAGGTTAGCCCCGCAGCCCGAGCGGAGCGAGACAGGCAGCAGGTGGTGCTGGCTCGGGGTGGGGGTGGGGTGGGTGACAGGGCACGTGGTTTCCCTTTGTTGGAGTGGGAGGCTGCAGACCAGCAAAGGGGTGGGAGACCAGAATGACCTTGGGGTCCAGTACCGGATGGAAGCGGCAGCATCAGTGTCACCACATTGTCAGGTTACTGGAGACACCAGTGCATACAACAGGAATCCTCACAGACACGCAGGCCCCCCTGTGCCTGCTGCTGCCTGCTGCCCCGGCTCAGACGGCCTGCGAGGAGAGGTGCCCTGGTCACCCGGAGCATGTCCCATGCCCGATCCTGGCCACCAGGAAAATCAACTGATTCCACGACTGGGGCAGGGAATATGCAAAATGAAGCTGGGTCATCTTCTAGTGCATAGGGTAAGGAAATGCTAAATACACACACACACACACACAATGATGGAGTAAGGAAATGCTGAGCACACACAGTGATGGAGTAAGGAAATGCTAAACACACACACACACAATGATGGAGTAAGGAAATGCTGAGCACACACACACAATGATGGAGTAAGGAAATGCTAAACACACCACACACACACACACAGTGATGGAGTAAGGAAATGGTAAACACACATGCGAGCACACACACAATGGTGGAGTAAGGAAATGCTAAACACACACACACACACACAGTGATGGAGTAAGGAAATGCTAAACACACCACAGTGATGGAGTAAGGAAATGCTAAACAACACACACACACACAATGATGGAGTAAGGAAATGCTAAACACACACACACAATGATGGAGTAAGGAAATGCTAAACACACACACACACACACAGTGATGGAGTAAGGAAATGCTAAACACACAGTGATGGAGTAAGGAAATGCTAAACACACACACACGTGCGCACACACACAATGATGGAGTAAGGAAATGCTAAACACACCACACACACACACTGATGGA